TCATTCTCCTGGTGGGGTTTTTCACTTCCTTTGATATTTTTGAATGTTGATTAAGTTTCTGTAATTGACAGTCATTGTACTAGTTGGTATATACCCATAAACAAAAAGTTAAAATCCTGGTCACATAGGGATTACATTCCAGCATAACTTCTATTACTGTGTAAACTCAAACATATATGAAAGTAGAAAAGAATAGTATAATGAGCTCTCATGCATTTATCATTCATTTTCTATAACTATCAACTTTTGCCAACCTTTCTGTTGTTTTTTTTGGGGGGGGCTGCCGGGGATTGAACTCGGGTCCTTGCGCTTGCAAGGCAGGCCACTGAACCTCTGAGCTAAATCCCCAGCCCATTTTTTGCTAAACTTTGACAAGTTTAAATTTGTCAAAGAAGGATTGTCATATCCCTCATATTTTAGAAGGAGTGTTTTAAAGCAAATTTTAGTCATAGTATCATGCCATTTGTAAGTTTTTGTTAATCAAATATGCAAATGCAAATGTATATATAATTTATACAAACATACAGGTATGTGTGTACTAAACATAGTATAATAATATAATAATTTACAAAAACATTTACAAAGTGTGCTTGGTTTGCCGGATTCACATTCCAGACAATACCTAAATATATGCACAGTGTTTGATTTTTATGTTTCATAAGTCTTTTTCATTGTAAAATCTACCTTTCCCTTTTCTAATGACATTGACTTATTGGACAAACTGCCTTTTGGGGTCCTGTATTATGCTTAATAATCTGAATTTGGATTGATGATTAGCCATGTGGCAGATCCTTGGTACAGTATACTTTGAACTCACAACAGATTCAGAAGCTATAAATCAGGGACTAATTCTTATCATCACCTCTATGTTGATTATTCTCAAATCTCATCTCTAGTTCAGACCTTCCACTGAACAGCATACTCTTTATTTTTCTGGCTACTTGCCATTTTCCCCTTCCTTTTCATGTCTAAATGCTTGATTTATCACATTCTCTCAAAGTCATACATTGTGGAGTTCCACATTTAAGAAATAGTTCATCTTTCCAGTCTTTCAAAAACTTTGAAGTCTTCCTTGGCTCCTCTGTTATACCCAAACCCTAAATATTTTCTTGTAACAAAACTCATTTATGCACCTCCAAATCTACACAGGATCCGATCACTTCATAGAAGACTGCCACATCTTCAAGTCACCATGGGCTCACTCCTTGACTGTTACAGTAACCCCAACGAGTCTCCTTTCTCCTGCCCTTTTTTCTCAGGCATCTCCTCTCAACACAGTTGTAAGAATCATTTGATAATATATAAATCTGATCAAGTTATTCCTCTGCTCTCTACTTACCACTGTCTTTCCATATCACTCAGAATACGAGTCAATGCTTACTATGAAGTACGATGTACGATCAACCTTATGTTATCTGGCCTCCCACTAACTGTGTCTTATGCTTCTTGCCTATTTTTTCTCATCTTTCCACACTGTTTCTCCTGATGTTCCTTAAAGATAGTAGACATACTTCTGTGTGAATTTTCTATTTCCCATAGAATGTTATTCCTATATTGGTGATCCTCACTAAAATACCAGCCTCGTCAATATTTTATGTCTTCCTTCCCTGCTTGATCTATCACTTTAGAATTTATCTGTCTATAACTTACTTTGTTTCTCGCTTACTTCCCCTACTAGAGTGTAAGCATCATGAAAGTGAAATTTATCTTTCTATTTTATTTACTGCTATATCCCCAAGCTCTAGGAACAGAACAATATACATAGGAAACACTCAATATGTAGTTGTGGAGTAAACAAGACAAATTATCATCATCATCAATCATCAGTAGCAGCATCATTCTATGCTTGTGAGATGTTTTCATTGATTTCTACCTGTATGAGGTCTCCATCTTTATGCATCTGTTTCTCTTTCACTTAACATTTTGTTTTGTGGAAAAAAAGTTGACAAAGATTCCTAAAATCTGCTGTGTCTGCAGTGTTTTCCACCTCAGTGATCTTCAGAGTAGGGGGACTACAGCAGTAGCTCTGATTGCCTCACTGGAAAATTATTTCTTTGGTCTATAGAACTGTTTCTGTTTTGGCTTCTCCAGACGCTTGGCAGAGTCACCAAGAAAATAAGTTAATTAGGCACTTCCGAGTTTATAAAATTGCCTAAAATTCAAACAGGAGGATTTCATTTCACCCTGAAGGTTAGTAAAGTTAAATTATATGAGTTGTGCTTCAAAAGTGCCCTAGGAAAAAATGATGCTAATCCAGCTATCATTGAAAGGCAATTCAGTTGTGAACTAGAAGGTTGGCCTGTCTGTGTAAAGTAAAAGCTGTTAACTTTTTGTTGATGATTCGCTACTTTCCTGACAGAGAAGCAGCTCTGTTTTAACCCTGAGAATTTTACTCTGACTGTAGTGCTAGGTTTCTGACCTGGCAAGCACTAAATAAAGGGCAATAATATATAGTACAATATTTGTGCAGCAGCTGCTCTCAATCAGGGCCAATTTTGTCTATGAAAGGAAATTTGACAATATTTGGAAACATTTTTGGTTGCCACAACAAGAAGACACTCTTCTGGTGTGTACAAGTCACACACACACACACACACACACACACACACACACACACTCTCTCTCTCTCTCTCTCTCTCATTAACTCTCTGACCTTGTAACTTGTTTTTGCCTTTTGTCTGTTTGTTCTAGAGCCCCATCTTTTGTCTTACTGTTCCTCAAATGTACCAGGCATGCTTCTGTGTGAACCTGCTATACACACACACACACACACTCTAATGTCTATATCGTTATTTGTATTTATATGGTTGAACACACTGAAATGCACAAAATAAGCCTCCACAACAAAGTTCTATCTGGTCCGAAATGTAAATTCTGACTTGGCTCAGAAATTCTGATGTAGAAAATCATACTCAGGGACCACAAATGTTGCTCTTTATCACTTAACTTACAAACAACATATAGAAGAATCACTGTTTTTACTTGGCTTCGGGGATCATACTCTCTTGTCTATTCTTTACCTTACTGACAAATTCTCTGAATCCCTTTGACTATTTGTGTCATCTTTCAGATTTCTGAAAGTTATCATGCATCAGAGTTCAATGCTAAAATCCTTTTCCTGGGGCCAGGGATTTAGCTTAGTGGTGCTGTGCCTACCTGGCAAGCATAAGAAAGTGTAAAGCCTTTTTGTGTACATAGTAACTCCTGAGGTGATATTATCCAATGTCATGGCTCTAAACAACACTGACATATCAAAGGTCCTCATTTGTACCAGTACTGATAACTCCAGACTTGTATATCCAAGTACCAATTGACCTCTACCCTGCATACATAGTACTCATTCCAAACTTACCACTTCTGAAAATAAACTTCTAATTCTCTCCTACTTCACAAATCTGATCCATCATTAGTCTCTCAAATAGTGTGCAGGTAAAAATACTATATTCAGAATTTATTTCTTATGACAGATTCCACCTTCCAGCCAATTCTGATGGCTCCAAGTTGAAACTATATCTAGGATCTAATAGCTTCCCATTATTTTCACTGTCCCAGGCTTAACCACACTCATCTGGTACCTAGCTTACTGTGGTAGCCTCTCCACTGTTCTGTGCCTCATTGCCTTATCCACAGAGGCAGAAATTACCAAATGTCCCCTAGTACTTTACAAAGTGCGAAAGCATATTTATGAACTTTTACTAATCAGTCACTTACTAGCAAGTCTTAAACAAAGAGCATACTTATTACTGCCAATTTATTAATTTTCTATTACTAGTGTAACAGAGGATCACAATTTCCATGACTTTAGTAACTCAAATTAGTTTTCTTAAGTTCTGCATGTTATAGCTCTATATGCTAAAATTTTAACATCTGTCTCGCTGGATTAAAATCAAGATGTCTACTTTAAATCAAGGCAATTTTACTCATTCTTGGAGGCTGTAGGAGGGAATTTGTTTCCTTGCCAGTTCCAGATTCTAGAAGTGTTCTGTATTCCCTAGTCTATGGGTTTTTTTTCCTTCTGTCTTCAAACCCAGCAGTAGAGAATATAATGTTTCTCACATGGCATTACTACGATCTCCAACTGTTTCCTTTTTTCACTCTTACGGATCTTCATGATTGCAGTGAGCCCACCTAGATAATCCCAGAAAAGATCCTTATCTCTCAACCAGCTGATTATTAAACTTAATTCCACCTATGTCTTTAATCCCCCTTTACATTTAATTTAACACAGTCATAATTTTCAGTAAACAGGACATGGACATCTTTGGAGTGGCCATTATTCTGTATACTGTACTCATTGAAGACTTTCAAGTTCAGTGTTAACGTTTTTATACTGCTAGCAAACTCCAATTTAATGAACTCAGGAAAAATATGTGACATTGCATACTTACAAAAATAAAAGCATGGAAGAATAATTAATTATAAACAAAGGATTGATATTTAAGCCAGATAGTATTTTTCTGGGAATGTTCTATCACTTAAAAAACTCATCTCAAAAGAAAAACATTATTTTCATAGGAATTTGTTCCAAAGTCAAATTTTCAGGACAATTTCTACATAAAAAACAGTAAGAATTCAACTTCTTTTTTTGCTGGTTAACTCATATCTTGTTCCACATAACTATATCTTTGATATTATAGTAACCATAAAAGTTATCTAAGGGTCTGCTTTATGCCAAGCTCGGTTCAAAATGTTTTTGTGCATGGCTCATTTAAACTCATACAGCCTTCAAAGGAAGTGTTAGTCCCCGTACAGTCCCAGAAATAATACTTAGCTAGCATGACTTGCCTGCCTAATAAGAATTGGAATGGGGGTTTGAACTGGAATAAGAAAAAGCTGGGGAGACTTTCTATGACTTTCCATGAGGAATCCAGGCAAAGAGTAACAGAGATGCATGTAAAATCTTACAGTCTCTATCCCTATGCAGATATTTTGTCTCTAATCAGGCTGAATAATTAAAACTGTGCTAACAAAGAGTTTTCGTTTCTGTGTTTTGTTTTTAGAACCTCTCCTGCCTGGGAGAATCCTTCTTCAAAAACAAGTAGCAGGGGACGAGCTAATTTCCAGTGGGCATGTTTACTATGTTCTTCATTTGGAAGGAGCGTCCGATTCTAAAAATATGTTTGTTGGCAATAAATTCCCTTTAACCAGAAAAGTTACAGAAGAAGATTATCTTAAGTGCCTGCAGAGCAGAAATGACAAGTCAGAAGAACTATCCATTATGTTCACTGGTAATTGGATCCGAAGTGCTTACCTTAAAAAGATTGTGCTCCAATAATGCAATTATTTTCCAAAAAAAATCTTAATAAAAAGCACATTTCTTCTCTTCCTGCTTCTCAGAGGAAAACCACTTTAAAAATCACAACCAAAGACAAATGCAAAGCTTCAGAATACTTGAGTTCTAGTTACACACTTGCTCTCTCATTTTCTTATGCTAAGAGAGTGTTGCTGGGACAAAAACATTGCGCAGTGTGACACTATAAATCATCTCCAATAGTAAATGCAGTGTCAGGTTCTCATGCATTTCAGACCCTTTGGAACTAACACTCCATTATTTCACACTATGCTGAATGAACATTGAAAGTCTGTTGTGGCAAGTGGATCGGCAGTCAAATCAGCTCATCTTTACTGAGTCAACTCCAAGTTGGTGCTAGAGGTTTGGCTTGCAGTTTCAGCCTCCATTCACCATACCTGTTTCTCCGATGGCTGAATTGATGGGATATCTTTTATCCTTCCACAGAAAGCTCATTTCCCCCCCTCCATACTCAAGCATGTGAGAATGGGCAGTAAAGATTGTGCGTATGGCCTTCACTGGTTCTATTGACCAAGTAATACCTCAATCATGTGCTCCTTGCACATACACAACTTTTATTTGTAAATTATACCCAATTAAAGCTAAAAACAATAAAATAAGATAAACAATTATTGTAAAAGCTGCTTTTGGGGAGCTTTGTTATTTATATTCTTTTCCTTTTTTTGAAATAATTTGATTCTGTATGCTTATTCTGCATTTTATTTTAAGTTCTATTCTTTTTAAAATTGAAAATACGGCCTCAACATTAGAAAAGACCTTTCATACAGTAATTCAAACATTCATGTAGAACCTGACTGTTGTGTACAGCATCTTTAGAAAATTGAGAGTGTTAGCTGGAGTACTTTCCACAACAGAGCGCTAACTCCCCTGAAAGAAAATGTGTTTCATTTCTACCTGCCAGGTATCTTTCCCGGGTTTGGAGTCCAAAACCATAACATTCACTGACTTTATTCTCTTCTTCTGAGGAGCACAGCCAAGCCCCTTCAAAAGAAGACATCTTTTGATGGCAGAATTTTCCAAGTACTCTTTTTGAAAATATTCTTCTGGGAGATATTTGGTTTTCCAGAAATATCAGTTCTGTTCTTGAATAAGTAGAATACATCATTAAACTTACCATAGACAAGGTCCTGAAGGTCTGGTAGTAACAGAACATTTTCAAACTGTTGCATACAGTGCTCCAAAATTTTACCCATCCATGGAATCAAAGCTTCTACCGCTTATATATTTACTCCAGTGTATTAGCAACCCGCGAGACAGTGTTGCTCTGAATAGCTGGGACAATGACCTGGAGCTTGACAATCATGACAGGACTCATTCTTGCACTGGTTCAAAGTCTAAGGACAGTATTATGGTTTGTTTTTAGAGACCCCCAAAGCTTCATGCGGATGAGGTGGGATTTTTTTTTTTGGTGGGGGCTTGATTTTTCAGAGGTAGCTGAATCTGGAATGTGTGATGCTGGGATTAGGGCGTGTGATTAGTAAACCACGGCGTGTGAGTTAGTGCTTTAGCACTGCCCTAATCCCAGTTGTCTGGATGGGCTAAAAGAGGCAGAAAGATGTGGTGAAGGCCTCTTGTTGCCCTTTTTACCTTGTGCATGCCATATTGTTTCTTCTCTGTGAGGCCTGTTTGCCATTCCTGTCTTACAGCCAGCCAATTAGGGACTGAAACCTCTATAAACTATAAGCCACATAAATCCCTCCCCTTTGAGTCTAGGATATTCTGTCTCAGCAATGAGAGAAAAGCAACTAACACAGAGAGCTTCTCAAAATATGTGTAATAGGAGCTGGGGAAATTGTTAGAAACATGCATTCTCACACCGACTCTGTCTCACACCGACTCCTCTGTCAACGTCCCTAGAGGCAAGGCCAAGGAGTTTGTATTTAACAAATGCTAATGGAGATTCTTTAGTACATTAAAATCTGAAAACTATTGTTTTAAGCCTACACTAATAAAAGTGTGGTCTAGGACCCTATAGCAGTTGCATTATCAGAAGCTTGTTAGAAATGCATAACTTCAGGCTCCATTTAGTCTGATGAATCAAAATCTGCCCTTTCACAAAGCCATCAGGGAATTGGATGTACATTAAAGTTTGAGAAACATCCTCAGATACTGATCTCACTCTCAGGGAAGCATTTTTTTTTCCAAATTTTTAATTCCTCATCAATTCTTGTTACTTCAATCATCCCAGATACATAAATGACATCACTTAGACTAATGTACCACTGGTGTCACTCTAGGGTATCAGCCAGAAAACTTTAAAAATCCACATGGTTGTGAGAATAAGATGTGGTTATTGGAAGGAAATTTGTTCTCTTACCGGGTACTGAAGCTTATCATAATTCAGAGGAGATGAGTTTCAAGAAATATAAGAGAAGTAATCCCATCAGCATATTACATTAACAATAACTGTAAGAGAAGTTGGACATAGGCTGTGTGCTTGTTACTGTTGTGAGTGTATGTGTGTATGCACGACTGGCACTGTGCGCATAAACATATCTCACCACAAACTCTAACGTGTCAGTACTAATACTATTCTCAGTTGTCTGAAAAAGGGTATAATTTTAATGAAATTGATTCCTAGGGGAAATGTATAGAAAAACTAAATGATTTGATTTTTTTTCTGGATGAATAGATTACAGTGCAATAGAGACTTAAACATAAATAAAATTCAAACCATAAAACTTTCTTAAAAGAAAAGCAATTTGTTTTACATTTTAAATGATCCGGAGGTAGAAATTGCTGAGCGGGTTCTGATTACCTTGCTGAGATGTAAGCAATTGGTAACAATCATACCGATTACAAGCCATTTAAGCAAGCTCAATTAAATTAGTAGTAATTCTAAATGACTACATCTTGCATAGAGATTGGTTTAATTTTTATGTAAATTTAAATTCTAGTTGTGCAAATCTTAATTGTGTAATAGCAAATCAAGCTAGAATATTTTCATTTATCTTTGAGAAAATCTCAAAGCTGCATTCAAAGCTCTGATACGTATACGCAAACTGAAAACCTTTCTGCAAGAAAGACTTGCAAAGGGATATCAGAGATCAGGTCCATTTCATTGGCTTGATGTGACAGATAGGCAGAGTCTATGAAATAATGAGAAGGTAGGAAATTGAAGATCAGAAGACTTAAGAGGACAATAGAGTAGAACATTCATTGGACTAGATACCTGGAGAATTGACTCTTACTCCTGATTCTGACATGAATTCTCTATGTAATCTTGAGAATGTCTCTTTCTATTAGTTAACTATTAGTGTATAATAAAGAACTACAAATTTCCAACAGATTAAAGAAACATACATTTATTTCTAACTTTAAAACCTCTATATGCAGGTAGGTTGGAGTTTAGCAGAGGCAGACAGACCTGACCTGAATCAAATCCATGTTGTATTTTGAGTCCAGGACTGATACTTGTGTCACATGTCCACCTTGGCCAAGTATTATTTAAAGTGCCTCTTAGCCAAGGCCAAAGGAAAGAAGATAAAAGGACAACTTCAATCATATAAGCTTGTTTCAAGTTCTGACTTCATGTCCATCTGCTTAATAATTGGCCAAAGCAAACAAAGTCAAGCCTAAACTCATGAGAGAGAGAGTTTACTTCTCCACTAGAATGCTGTGCTATGAGTATGAATAATCAATTAATTAAATCACCGCTACCCCTATTCTTTAGTTTCCACATCTATAACCTGAGATGAATTTCATGACTACGAAGATTACTTCCATCTATTAATATCTGTGATTATAGGAGAAATTCCATGAGATTATATAGTACTGTGTATAAACTATTACCCTGGAGGATAGATTCAGTCATGGTTTGATTTATCTGCAGAGAATTTTAAAAACAATTTTACTTAGTTGAAAATATTTTAAGTGGCGTGTTTCATAAAACAATTCAGAATTCTGACTGTTCTTTTTTTCTTTGGTTTTTTGGAGACAGGGTCTCACTATATAGTTGAGACTGACCTGGAACTCACTATGTAGTCCAGGCTGGTCTCGAACTCATAGTGATCCTCCTGCCTCAGCCTCCCGAGTGCTGGGATTACAGGCGTGAGCCACCACACCCAGCCTGACTGTTTTTGAAGACCCAAAACACATAAAATGCCTCTCTGTCATACAATTTTATTGTCATACTCCCAGCCCATATTACTTTATATGCTTCTTGCCTGAAAGTCTTGAACAGCTCTCCCCTCTATCCCAGGATTTCAGGTTTAACTTTGGCTCTTCTCTCTCCAGAAACTTAGGTGGCAAAATAAACCATATAACATACCTGGGTTGTATTTTTCTCATTTACAAAGAGAGAGAGGGGACTCTTCTCTACTTTAGAGAGTTTTTAAGGGCTTTCCTGCTTACCATTACACAATTCGAAAGATGTTCTGTTAAGAGCATGAAAAGTAGTCTATCTCAAGAGATGACAGAGCAACTCTTCAAATGAAGATATACAAACTGAGACATGGAAACCCAAGGCAAGAGAGGCACCCACGAGCAGTACTTGCAGTGTGAGTCTCAAAGGAGCCCAAGAGGGAGAAGTAGCAATTAAAGAGGAAGAGAAATTGTTGATTTAAGCCAAATATCAGAAAGCTTTTCCTAATAAGCAAGTCTTTAAACTAGCATGCTTTCCCAGGAGAAGTGGCAAAAAGTTATTTGAAACAGGGCTAAGCAAAATATTTCAATAACTCACTGTAAACAAAACTCCCACTTACATCAGGGCTATTGACTCAAGGGCAAGTTGTTACTTTCCCTTCATTTTGCAAGTTGCTTTGTATTTCTGTTGAATAAAATGATGAAAAGATCAAATCCTAGGATGAGGGTTTGGAGTCAGACAAATCCATGCTATGCTTGCATGCATCCTTCAGGCCTATTAGTTTAATGCAGATGGCTGTGATATCTCAGAAATGATCAATTTTCCAACAGCCATCTGTGTTAAATAAGCACATAAAAAGCATGAACGTAGATATATTATTTTGCACATTGTCATAAACGTGAAGTTTCAGGCTGTCACCCAATTTGCTTTTATAAAATCCAGAGAAATTTTTTTCTTTCCTTCTCCACTGCACATCTTTTTTGAGGTATTTTTGGGACAATAGCACTTGTTATTCAATTATTTAAGACAGAGTGTTTGCTGACAACTGGATATTCTATTTTTCTTCTTTTAGAATAAGGAGAGCAAAACAAGGCAAATAACTGCCTTGGCTTTGGGATGGAGCAGAAAAACAAAAAAAACTAACAAACTAAAATTAATCAAAACGGCACCCCCCTCCAACTTTCATCAGCCAATATGCTAAGGGTGACCAGAAAGGCTTAGGAAAATACTTTGAAGTGCTACATCTAATATATACTCTCCGAGAGGATTAACACAATGACAGCATGTGGGCACTGGGAATCAACTCATTGCCATAAAGGGCAAATTTGATTAGAGGCGCACAAAAATATGAACTGATTACATTTGTAATAATCTGTTACACAAAGCTGTGCCATACTCAGTCACTGAACAAACATTTACTGTGTGTTCTAATTAT